TCTGCAAGAGCAGTCAGTACCCTTAACTACTGAGCCATCTCTCCAGCCCCAACCCCTGACTTTTTACATAGGCTCTGGGGATTGAACTCAGGTCTTCATGCTTGAAAAGCAAGCACTTTATCAACTGAGCTATCTCCCCAGCCCTCAAAAATGTCTTTATTAGCTAAAAGCAAATGGGTTTCTCTATTGACAGGGACAGGATAAGAATCCCCTACAAGCCCTCTTTATTCTGGTTCTTGGAAATACTGTTTCTAATTACACTTAGTAACTTGAGGTAGACTGACAGGAACAGATATCTACAGAAATCCTGCTTTTATTAGTACTCCCATTTTTATTTAAACTCTAAGATGGCACGCCATATACACTGGTCAAAAATTTCAAGACCCATCTGGGCCTTAATTGACTTATCAATCATTTGTCTTGAGAATAAACCTCAAGGGGTCTGAAGATAATTAGACAGGGAAATAATCAATGCTGCTTAGCTTTATATGAAAACACCCACCTGTCTTTGGAGAAGATTTATATATGTTCCTGGGGTATGCTGATTTATGTATATTTACTTCTGCAGACTTGTATTCAGTAAGAATTTAAAATAATTTACATTAAGTATGACTGGAGAAGACAGAGAAAAAATAACACACACACACACACACACAGACACAGACACAGACACAGACACACACACACACACACACACACATACACAGCTTCCAAAATGAAAACCCTTTATAACCAGCTTTCTAAAATCTTCTCCAGGAATATGTGTGTGTGTGTGAGTGTGTGTGTGTGTGTGTGTGTGTGTGTGTGTGTGCAAATGCCATAATTTATCAAAGCAAATTAATATTGTTCAGCTAGTAATTAAAGGTCTTCATTAAGAAGTGTGACCTCCCACTCCAACTCTACCCTGCGTCAGCAGTAAAAATGCACTGGGGGCACCAGAAGGTTCTATAGGAAAATCAATAACTTGCCATTTTATAATTAAAAGAGAAAATAAATGTTAGGGAAAAGACCACTAAATTAGGAAAATTACCTTCAGGAGAGATTGAAAATATTGATTTTAATTTACAAAATCTGTGAACTTTTCATGCCCCATTTTGAGAGACAATTGGAGGCTGGGTAGTTCATTCTGCATAAGCTTCAGGAAAATCAATAATTATGCTCTGGGAATATCATGAAATTTGTCTTGAACACAGAGTCTCCGATAAATAACTAATGACTTTGTCTTTGTTTCTTGGGTAGGTATGTAGGGATTGACCTAGGAAATATATTTACAGCAAGGTGAGGCACACTTCAAACTTCAAGAAAAATCTAGACTAATTTTTATAGCTAGGGAAATTTAGAATGCTTCATAAATTCTTAGTCATGGATATGGAGACGGAAGGCATTGATAATTATACCTGATGTGGAGACACATGCATTGTTCAAACCCATCTTTGCATAGATCTGTTCCACACGTACAGGTGCCTGACTCTTTAGTTTAACCTAGCTGAATTCTTAGTGTTTGTGACTCTTTAACTGTCTCAAAGGAATGGCTCCAGGGGGTTGAGTATGCACTGATATTTATATTACATTTATGATTATTATGAGTTCTGTATACCTACATATAGGTAAGAGAAAACATTTGGCTATCTGGAATAATCATGATAATGGAAGCACAAAGCATGAGTAGTCAAGATTGTTCTAACACTTATTTTCTCATGCTCCATTTTTCTCGTGATTGTTCATGTGTGTAGGGGGGGTGCATGTGTGTGAGTATGCATGTGTGTGGGAGTGCATGTGGGAGTGTTCGTGTGTGTGGGTGTATGTGTGTGAGTGTTCATGTGTGTTGGAGTGCATGTGGGAGTGTTCATATGTGTGTGGGTGCACAGTACGTGCTTGTACTGTGGTGGCCAGAGGTCAACATTGGGTCATTCTTCAAGATGTCGTCTACCTGGAGTTTTGGGGCCAGGGTCTCTCGCTGCCCTGGAACTTATTGGTTCAGCTAGAGTGGCTGGCCAGAAGGCCCCACACCTTCCTGTCTGTGCTTCCCCAGAACTGGGATTATAAATGTCTGGCTCCCCCCCTTTTCCAGGAAGTGTACTCAGTTCATGTTTGTATGAAAATCGCCTTTCAACTTAGCTAACTCCTCAGTCTCTGTCTTTTGTTGTTTTGTGAAACAGGGTCGCACCCTGTAGAAAGGTCTGGACTCTGACTCATGGCAATTCTTCTGCCTTAGCTTCCCAAGTGCTGAGATGCAGGACCATACTCCCATGCCTGGTCTCTCTCTCTCTCTCTCTCTCTCTCTCTCTCTCTCTCTCTCTCTCTCTTTCTCCCTCTATCTCTCTCTCCTCTGTCTCTCTCTCCTCTCTGTCTCTCCCTCTCTCCTCTCTCTCCCTCTCCCTCCTCTCTCTCCCTCCTCTCTCCCTCTCCCTCTCCCTCCTCTCTCCCTCTCTCTCTCTCTCTCTCCCCCCTCCCTCTCTCTCATTGAACTTGTTGGAGTAGCTCATAGGAATCTTTAGTTGTTTAGGCCCCTTAAAGGTTCTCCTCATATAACTGATTAGTCTATCTAAATGTTTTAGCAGTGGCTAGAATAAACCAGAATGATCCTATGGCTTCTTTTATTTGTCTGGTTTGGACACAGAGGATTGGAATGCTCACAGGGCATAGCCAGGGGAAATAATGACTAGATATGTATAAAATATAAAGGAACTGTATCACCTGATGGTGAAGAACTCAGCCTCCGAGATTGATCAAAACTGGATTTTCACATCTGGTTTGCTTCTGTCCAGATGTGACACCTTAGACCAGAGACACCTTAGACCTTTGTACACCTTTGTCTCATGTGCAAAATTACCACAAGGACTGAATACATCATTTATGGTAAGCACTTAGAACAGTGCCTAGCCCACAGAAAATACTCGGTACACATTAACCCTCTTAACTTCCTCTCCTCCCATACCCTGGAGACCTCACTGCTGAGGCTGGGCCTTGAGCCAATTTCAATAACTGCTCTGATACTATCAAAAAAGAATTCAGATCCCTTATCTTCAGGCCACCCCTGTCTTTGTTCTTTTAAACACTAGCAGACATGCACCATGAGATGAAACCCCAAATAAAGAGGACAGTGAACATTTTTTTGCTGAGTCAGGTGAAGATGACCATCGCTAGAGGTGGGAAAACTGCATGATGCACTCAGACTATACCCACAACTGCACCCAGACTTCCTGTTTCTCGTTCTTCACCATTACCTGGGAAGGGAACCTGTACACAGGCATATTACACACACAGTCACAGGTCCAGAGAACCTGAAGGCCAGCTGCTGCAGGCGAATGGAAGCCAGCTGTTCTCTTTGATCTTTTGGTTAATTTCCTTTACTTGCAGCTTTAGACAAGATTGCATCGGGTCCCTAACAGATAGTCATACCCCTAATCCCAGAAATGTACTCCCTGAAATAGACACACTGAGAACTAGCAGGCTGGTTTTCTAATGAATAAGGTAAACAATTAAGAGTCTAACAGCATGCTCAGAACTAGCAGGGTCAACTTTGTCCATCTCCCATTTGTGGCACAAAGGTTGAACCATAACTTGCTTTTTTTTATTTAACAAACATTCGTATGATGCTGACTATGCAGCCAACACTGCATATATTCATCCCTGTAATTCTAATGAACACCTCCATACTTAGTGCTATCATGATCCTCATTTGAGAGAAGAAGAAACTGAGGCACAGAGAGGTTTAATAACTTGCCAAGAGTCACAGTTCTGACAAACAGAGAAGGCAGGATTTGAACTGGGGCCATCTGGGTGCATTTTCTTTATTCTTTACTGTGCTGTTTGTGCTTTCAGGAGGTAAGATACACAGTATAATCATGGGGAGCCTTACAGCTAAGTGTCTCCACGGTCAGGGTGAACTAGGTACCTCAGAGTGGTATAATCCCTAGACTTAACTCACACATGAGGAGCCGTCACAAATACTGCATACTTGAAATTCAGATTTCAGCTATTATATGGCTCCTCCCCAAGTTTAGCCAAGTTTTCATTTTTAATTTGGTCTGTAAGAGTATCTAAGTTTTCTTTCTTCCTTTCTCCTCCTCTAGGGTTAATGTTTAGTCTCAGAAAAATGACAAAGTTGGGCAACCTAATAAAAAGGGAAGCCATGTTTACCTTAAAGACATCACCGAGTGAGTGGCTCAGATTAATTGGTTATCAGTCATACACTGTTCAGAAACCACACCAGAGGAATGCTTACTCCCTTCTCTCTTCCATGAGACAATCCTTCTCCTGCGGCTCCGGGGTTTAGAGGCAGCCTTGGTGACAAGCCAGAGTGCAGGAGCAACAAGGGGCCAACTAGCCACATCAAGGCAGGGAATCTTATCTGTGGAGGCTTCTGGCTTCCACCCCTGGTTGGTTCACTGACTTTTCTAAGTGCATAGAGTTCCCTGAGGGGCAGTTGGTGCTTAGGTGGAGGAGGGGTAGGGAGAGAGACATATCCTTGAGGCAAAGTAAAAGGAAGTGGATTTGCTAAAGCAAATTGGTCCACAGAGAAACAAACACAACTTGCACCCCCATCTTTCCAGAAAAGCTTTATCTTGGCCATTCCCAATCATTTCCATGTTATTGAAATGATTATGCAAGTCTCTGCTTTACCAGGAAAGGGGAAAGCAACCCCATGGAAATGCAGAGCCAAAAGGCACATCCAGGGACCCTGAATTAAAATGGGCTTGAGCCATCACCTCTTTGTTCAATTTGTTATGAGACAAAGCCTCAGTGCTCTCCTAGGGCAACACCCATGTGAAATGTCACAAGGGGCAGAGCCTCATGCTTCCCCACAAGGCCATGCACATGGCATGTTCCTTCAATTAACAGTTTTAAACACTCTTGGCTTTGCCCATGGAAATCATTCAGAACTTGTTGGGATGGGGATTCACTTGGTTCAGATTGTGCTGCAAAATTCATGATTTGGGGGCAGGCAAAGCACATTTAGAAAAGACTAAGACTTTGGCGTGCAAAGAGATCCTTACCTGCATAGAATTCTGGGCTGTAGACTGCACCCACAACTGGATTTAATTTCCAGCCTTAAAACAAATAACAAAAGTATTATGATCACATTTGATTCAGTAACTTTAATCCCTTCAAAGAAACCACAATGAAAATACATTGAAATAGGGTATTTTTATATTTTAAAAATTCAAGGATACCTAAGTTGAACATGCATAAAATTATTTGAAAACTTTAAGAAAATGGATTTCCTGTCTATGATTTTTCTGCTGATGCAAGTAAATGGAATGGAAACCACTGACCAGCTCCAAGTGAACCTTGTCAGACAGATACAATTAATTTTCAATCTTATCAATTATCTTTTAGAGCCACTATCCTCAGTTTCTGTCTAATTTCATATATCACTGCTAGATAATACATCTCACATCACCTTGCATTAAACTCACAGAAATTTGAAAGCTTGCATAAACAGAATTCTTTGAGAGAACATACTCAGACAATTATCCTTCCTAATTATGACCTCGAGATACTAGAGAATTCTAAAGTGCTTTATGAATACCAAAGAAAATGGTATTTTATCCCCTAGAGAGCTGGTGTGGAATACATTTACTGCATTCAGGAAGCGTAAAAATCCTTAGTCAATGCGTGATATTGAACGTAACTTTCAAATAACCTGTCTATGAGATTAACAGAATCCTGGGATTCTCTAAATGTTATGGATGGAAAGATGTCTTTAAAATGAATTCTGGCCCTCTTAGAAATTTTCACTTAAGAAGAAAATCATATAAGAATGTACATAAACCAGAAAACACATCACAGCGCCAGTGGATTTTAGGGGTATCATTAGTAAAGAATGCATGTGTATTTTAGGGGTTGTGATTGGTGCTATTCCTACTGCTAAATCTTTGTGGAGACATTAATTGAATTTTTCTTTTTCTTCCTTTTTCGGTTTTGAGACGGAGTCACCTGTAGCCCCAGTTGGCCTCCAACTTGCAATGTAGCTGAGGATGGCCTTAAATTCCTGGTCCTCCTGCCTCTACCTCTTGAGTGCTGGGATCACAGGCATGCAATGCCATGATGGGTTATGCAGCAGTGCTGGGAATTAAACCCAGGGCTTCCCAGATGCTAGACACTCTCCCAAATGGGCTCCATCCACCTTTGTCCTTGGGTCTTGGGCAGAGGGTCAAATACCAGATGTCTTTTAATAAATGTACCTGAGATAAAGAGGTGGAAAATTTTTGCATACCGTTATTTTGCAGTATGCAAAATATGACATGTTCCCCACAGGCTCATGTGTTTGAAAACTTCCCAGTTGGTGGTGCCATTTTAAGAGGTTGTAGAACCTTTGGGAGGTGGAGTCTAGCTGGAGGAAGCGATACCCCGGGGGTGGGCCTTGAGGTATATAGCCCAGGTGCAACATCAGACAACATGCTTAGGTCATCTTGGAGTATCAATAAACAGAGCATAGTCCTTTCTATCCCTGAGCTTTTCTCCTAAACAGAGCTGCCCATTCCTAGGACAAGGAATGCAAATGCTTTCTGAATCATGTGCCAGGCATAAGACCTTACCTTCCACCCCCTCTTCCTCCCTTAGAACCTGTTCCTCACTCAGTCTTCCCTTTCAGAAAATGGCATTTTCATCCTCTGGTGACTCAAAATTCTGTTCAGTAATTCTTTATCTTACTGTTATACCCCCTATGCAATACATTAAAAGAAATACTCTGTTAAATTTCTTCTCTTTCCTTCATTGTTACTTTCTAGACCAAAACATGCCATCCCCTGCCAGATAAGTGCCATACCAAAACAAACAAAACCCAGAACAAAAACAGAAATCAAAAAAGCATTAATAATAATAATTTGAAACATGGGGCTGGAGAGGTAGATCAGCATATTGCTCTTGCAGGGGACCCAAGTTCCGTTCACCCACATCAAGTGGCTCACAACTGTAATTCCAGTTCCAAGAGATCCAGCACCCTTCTCTGGCCTCTGTGCAGCACCTGCACAGATGGATACATACCACCACACAGATACACACATGCACATAATTAAAAACAAATCTTTAAAAATAAATGCTAAAAACCTCCTTCATTCTCCCTTCCCTTCCATCCATTCTCTTCCCAGTGGCAAAGGGTTTTTTAAAGAAATCAGATACCTGTTCCTTTCTATCACTCAGAACTCAATAGCTGCCTTCTAAACTCAGGATAAACACAGACTCCCTGCCTTGGTCTAGAGACCACACAATAAAACCATGGTCCATTTACTTTGCACTGCCCACATATCTACAAGATACAGGATAGTAGACTTGTTTATGGATAAAATCACCCAGTCTATGTACATCCAGGACTTTCCTTGCCTTGCTTAGAGAACTCTCCCTGGTTCTTTCCCAAGTGCCTGGTGTGCTTTGGGTCTTGAAGCCCTCCCCAGAATAGGAGGATTCATCACTTTCTCTTAAGGATAATCTCTAATCCATTTCACAGTTAAATTTTCTGCATAGCTCCAATTCCTATCTGGATCTATGTTTTTTCTTTTTCTTCTTGTTTTCTTTACCGTGCTTCCTCATTAGAGCTAAGGGTAAACCTGGGCAAGACTGTCATTCAGCATGAATTCCCGGCAATTGAAAGTATTCGGAAAATACTAGGTACTCCATAAACATTGACTTGATCCTATTTAAAAGAAACAGAAGGAATACAGGGCTGTTCCTAATGGTCTCATTTCCTCCTGCCTAGGAATCAGTCTCCTTACTTCCTCCAGATGGAAGATGCTATCCATGCAATAAAGGACCCTCTTAGGCTGGCTGTCTCCCAGTGAAGGCAGTGAGCATCTAGCCCTTGAAAGTCACCTCTGCTCACACTTGCTCAGATTCATAGACCTCAGCAGCTTTATGCAAATATATGCAAATCAAATGCAAATGGACTCATCCTTTCTGTGGCTTCTTCTAGTACCTGGAATAGACCCCTGGGATAACCTTGCCAGAGATACGAGCCCGCACTGTCAGGAAGATGGACAAAATGATCCCGTTTTTCATTTCAGAGGCAGTTTGTGTATGTCCCCAGGCTTTGCAAACTCCCAGATTTTCATCAGGGACATTAAACTGAACAATGAGCCTTACAACAGAAAGAGAAGAGCAGATAAAACCTACCAGTCCCAGCCTCCCAGGGCTCCATCCAACAAGGCAATGGAGCAGAGCCCAGGCACGTGGGGTCTAGGCTCAACAACAGACACACTAGTGGTTCGCAGAGACCCTCTGAGGCTGGGTCTTGAGTAGTTGCATCAAATCAGACTCCCCTCCCCCCCTGAATTTTAGATTGTACCAGGTCATGTGTTAGCCTGATTTTGAAAAATGCTGGACAAGATTCCTGTTGTACTAAAATAGCTGTAGTGGGTGGGGAAAGACATACAGAAACCAGCAGGTATCTTCTCTAGGGACTTGCTGGACTGAGTTTTAAAGAAAAATTTCCAGAAAGTACCCTAAAATATACTGCAGGGGAAGGTCAAAAACTGCTTCTAGGACCAGGATGATGGCACAGCTCAGTGAGCAAAGACACTTGCCACCAAGATGGCAAGCTGAGTTCATGCCAGGCAGCCACATGGTGGAAAGAAAAACCTGCAAGTTGTCCTCTAACCTCAATGGGAGTGTGGTGGCACATGTGCACTCTCCATTACTAAATAAATAAATGTAATTTAAAAAACAAAAACATGAGCTAGAGAGATGGCTCAGTAATTACAAGCTCTGCAAGTTAGGCTTGCAGAGAAACTGAGTTCAGTTCGTAGCACCATGTCATATACCACCTGTAACTCCAGTTCCAGGGGGTGCCCAACACCTCTGACTTCTGCAGACACCTGCAATCACATGTATACACCCATGCAAACACACAGACACACAGATACACACACACACACACACAGTTACAAAAAAATTCTTTAAAAATTTAAAAAGAATGACAGAAATTATATAGGGTTAAAGGTGACATTCAAACAAAACAAAGACTAGTTACTTATACATTGGGCAATGTTTTATTTGGGGCCACTCAGTACTTTTTTAGCAACATATATTCAAAGCCAACATACAGATTTTGCCTGAACTGCAAGAATTTGGGTTCTCTTGAAACATTGGCAGAAACAGAAAATCTATGTTAGGAATTCTGTCATATAGCTTTATTAGCAGTAACCAGGGTGATCCTGTGTAACTGCTCAGTCAGTAACAGTGAGCTAAAGCTCCCTACTGTGGCTGCCTGTTGTGATCTTACACTGCCCTGTCTGCTCACAGGGAAATATCTTGCTTTACCCAGTAAACAAAGCAAAGATAAACATTTCAGACTGAGTTTCAACTAGGCCTGTGGGTGCAAGTCTGTGATCTCTATTATTTGGGAGCCTAAGGTAGGAAGATCTCAAGTTCAAAACTTATGAGTGCTGTGGAGTGAGTTCAAGGCCAGCCTAGGCAACTTACTGAGACCCTGTCTCAAAATCAAAAGTATAGAGGCTGTAGAGATGGCTCATCATTAAGAGCAGTGGTTGCCCTTACAGAGGGCCATGGTTGGGGATCCCAGCACCCACATGACAGCCCAAAACCATCCATAACTCCAGTTCCAGGGGATCCAATGCCCTTTTTTGGTTTCCATGGGCATCACATGCACAAGTGCATTTACATACATGCAGGGAAAATATTCATACACAAAATATAAAAATAAATCTAAATACCCCAAAGGGCATTTGGGGACACAAACTTGACTTGCTAGCCCTTGATATACATGATAGAGTACTTAAAATCCAACCAGAGGTAAGGGACCTATAAGAGGGGTTGCGGGTAGCAAAGGGGGTCTAAATATAATAAAAATATGTTGAATGAAATTTGCAAAAATTCAATAAAAAAGAAAAGCTTGAAAAAAAATAGCAGAAAAATATCAATTAAACATGTTTAAAGAAGGTTGGAGATATGATTAAGAAGAAGACACAGGGCAAAAAACAAAAGAAGCCAGATGACAGGGCGGAAGGCCGTGAAATTCTGTTTAAAGGTCATGACACGTGGCAGTCCTGAACCCTTACAGGCTGTACTAGACAAGGCCCACAGATACTCATAG